GTTATTTCAATATGCTTATTTCCTGGTTCCAAATAATTAAATATAACCTTGCAACTATATGTTACGATTCCAACTATCAGAACTAGCCAGAACAAGAATGGTGCATTTCCAGACCCTTCAATTATAAGATTACCATTATTTAATGTGCAGTGCAAATATAAAAAAAAACTACCTAAAAAATGCTGTTCCTTCTTTTATTACTTATGATGGGACTACTTCTCAAAGGAGACGAGAATGTGGAAAGTATTGCTGATACAGTTACCGAAGTTATCCACTGGAGGTGAAGTGTTAATCTTTTAGGAATATAGGAAATATTTTTTTATACCTAACAACTTAATATTTATTTATTGATAAGTTATAGATACTATGTATTTGAAATTCAGAGTAATCATTATGACAGCAGCATTCTTATTGTATTCGGATTCTAACACAAATAAAACATCTCATTAAATTTTTGTTAAAATTATTAATTTATTAATTTTACACTAGAAAGAAAATTAACAATACACACAAAATTATTTAAAATTAGAAATAAATACAATTTACACATTTTCCATTATTACACTTATATTTTCTTAATTAAATGTATAGTTTCCAGATTTATTATAAGTTTTTTATATTAATGTAGGTTTATTATGTTCGCTTGTACACGTCACAGTTAGCAGCAGACAGTAACAAACCTGACAACACTTCTGATTTCAGAAAAACATTACAACAATTTGTTTTATATTATATATTTCAATAATATAATAATCATTTATATTTAATTAATGACAAGGTTTACTTTTTAAATAAAACTATATGAGCCCTGTCCCGTTTCAATTAGCACACTTCTCATATTTATAGTGACTGTCACTACAAGAACAAATCATACATAAATCTGGTAAATTCTTTTATTTTTTTTAACCCTTTCACTTCCACTTTCATTAAAAAAAATACCATTGTAGTAGATTGTATGTTTTCTTTGTTTATTTTAAGTAAATTAAAATATTTTCATAGTATTTTTTATTACTCCAAGACATAACGTCCCTGTTCAGGGACATTACAAAAACAAAAATTTACTATGAAAATATTTTTTTTATAATATTAATTCTTAAAAGTAATGCAAATAAAGTAAATAAACCAAAAAGAAAAAAATTCTACCAAAATTAACAGATGTATACTTCAGGGTTAATTAAGACAGTGTCCCTCTGGAGGGACAAATACACTGAAAGGGTTAAATATTTACAAATTTTCATGAGTGTTTCATCACCTTTAACTTTGATAACGGCAATAATTCATTAAACCATTGTATTTACAAGTTCTTGAAAATCTTGTGCAGGGAACCTACTCCATATTTTTAGATTACCCATTTGAATTAATTCTGGCAGTGATCTTGTGGGTGCTGCACGCCTCTGCTTAAAAATTATCACCCCATATACAAAAAAAGCATCTTTATTAAATGAACAAGAAACTAAAAAAAAAATAAGCATTATTAAAAACTACAAAAAGTGCATCATTTGAAAATCCATATTCAAGCTCCAGATTTGTAAAATTAAAAAAATTCCAAATACACATTTAACTTGTTCGATTATTTATTGAATAAAAGGTCTGTTCCAACGATCAGAAACAAACCACTGGGTAGTACACAATTTTGCAGTCTCAATAAACTACTGTGCAGAATCCTGATGTCAGTAACTCATTTCTGAGCATTGTTGGAACAAACCTAAAGTAAATCAAAACCACTTAAAACCAAGCACAACATTTATACTCGAGCAAATTTTTAATTCCTATCAAAATTTTTAATTACTGAATATTTTGTTCTAGTTATATTAAAATTTAAAAGTTCTTACTCTTCATTATAATTATATTTTTTATTTTCCCTATATACCTACATACTATCTCTAACATTTTACAAATTTGATGCCTAATTAAAGATTTCATCTAGCATTGCAGAACGTAAAACGTTTTTCACATTTGTATAAATCTTCTACATCTGTCATATTAGGATAACAAGATTGTATCTAGACAGGTAGTTATTTTTTGGAGTTGAAGTTTGTGTAGCCATTAACTTGTTTGATTTTCATTGTGTTTTTAACTCTAATTTAAGAGAAAATCTTAAGTGATAAAAATGCAGAAAGAACTAAGCGACCTACATTTTTTAGAATATTTGATAAAGCATAGTAGTAACTGCCAGTTAAAACTGTGTTTCTAGTATTTAGTTTAGGTAACAGAGACAAGGCTTGGAACAGAAAATACATACTTTAAATTTTTAAATGTTTTATATTATAAATCTTTCTAGGTATCCTCTATCATTTTCTTTATAATTTTCAATCAAAACTGTTTAAAAACAAAAAGTTTAATAAAAAAATACCCATTATATTTAATACAGTTTATGCTCTAAAACTCACTGTTCTTTTAATGGCAGATTTTTTAACCTCTGAGTAAAGTTACGCATAAGTATAATCTATAGCCTAATCAGCAAGTAGTTACTTTCAACTTTATTCAGAGGTAAAAACCTGGCCTTTAATCTTAATATAATTGTGGAGGATGGAGACTAAATTTGCTAGGGATTAGGGAATAACAAAGATCTAACTACTATAATGACACTTGCTAAAAACTGTATAAGTTCTATGTACATGCAGATAGAACCATGTGAATAACTTTAGTACTTCGATAACACAACATTGATAATTAACAGATGAACATATTGGTCACAAAAACAAATTAATTAATATATTCTACCAATCTCATTTTTTTCCAAAAAGTACAGTTACAACCTTGTTATTCTTTGAGATGTATTTATTACTGATACTTATTAATAAAAATAATAATAATTGATATAGGTACTTACTGATCTTTGGAAACATATATACTCCAGTCCAGTGAGACTTCATTATTCTGGTATAATGCTATTTCACAGAAATGTTTGTAATTCCAATCACTATGTATGGATTTGATTATAGTAGGTATAAAACTAAATGTTTATTGAATATCTTTAATCTGGGCAATGAAAATCACAAAACTCACTTTAAAAATAATAAGCTTCAATCTGAGTACCATAGTTAAGGTCCACTTCTTCATTTTATAATCAGTAACCCACTGTATTGCTGTTTTTGCCAAAACCAAAGGTAATATTTGAACACAAAACAAAATCAGCTGTTTTTTATAAACACCCCCATTTCACTTATTTAGTAGCAAGTCTCTGGCAGCAACTTGTAACTTAATTGGAGCATATTTATTAAATCTTGAACACTTTTTTTGATCGTATAAACGCACACATCAGTGTAGCTTGTTTAAAAAAAAAACACTTATAAGCAACCATCAATAACAATAAACTTATTTGTTGACCATTAATTTTTTCATCTGTACTTCTTCTGATAGTTTTGTCATTTTTCATTTCATATAAAGTCGAATTTTCACCATAGAAGAACTATTTTTATGATTGCACTTTTTCTGACAGATAAAAAGATTGCCGCAATTTTCCGCCGTAACGACACTAACTAACCTAGCGGATTTTTGCCCTAAGTACGACCGGTTTTGGTATGTTTTTTTCAGGGAGTTGAAACACCTTTATAGTGCGCCGTGGTTTTAATCATCCGCTACTGCTTCCGGAATTGTCGGTTTAGGGTGAGATTACAGAACGTCTGCAACTTTGCAAATATGGCGGACTTACAAATGCAAGTATTCCAAAAAATATCTACAAATTCGCAATATTTATTGTGGTTTATTACCCCCAACAACACTAAATCCAAATTTGGAATACGAAAACTTGATACTTGCATGTGTAAGTCAGTCATATTTGCAAGATATTCAAAGTTGCCGCCATATTTGCAGATCTGCAAAGTTGCAGACGTTCTATAATCTTACCCTTAGTCGTTTTAACCTGTCAGATTAAAACAAAAAAACCGTCAATTCCGAAGCAGAAGCGGATGATTAAAACGCACCTATTAAAAATATTGCGCCAAGATGTAGGCAACACGTAATAAGAGATCAAAATGGCGGAGTTTTCTATCTCCTTTTAAAAGGCACTCAGAAAGCTGCGCAAATGCGACCATTCTCCATATAGTAAAAGAAAATCAAAATATGTGCTTAGGACCGATTCCACTGTTGTGTTAAACGAAGTTTAAAATAATATTTTTACATTAACAATGTCATTTTAATCTCTGTTTAACACAACGGTGGAATCGACCCTTACTTTGGCAATACAGGGATTGTTATTCTATTTTAAAGATATAGCCAATTAATTTTGTTTACTATATTGAGTTGAAAATTGGCTTTAAAACATATTTTTGCTAAACCTATTCGATTAGTGAGCACTGGCGAGGCAATATGGCTGCTCGCAAACAGTGTTGTTCCTAGGGATTTTTGAATTGTACAACTTTCAGTGTCAAAATTGTACACTTTTACTTTCGGTTGTACAAACACTAATTAATCTTCTTCTTTTTTATTGACAGACTATGGCCTACTACTTTCCCATGCTTAAAATTCTTCTTTTTTCCAGTTTAAAATATATTTTTGATGTAAAACGGTGTACTGATTGGTCGCGAATGGCGCCAAATTTAAACTTTTATTTTTTTATTAATTTTAGTGCATGCTATTTAACAAATCGTAGACTTTTTGAGCGAAGAAAACCTTTTATATACCCGATTTTACATAAATATTTAGCAATTTCAAATTGTACAACATTTCTGTCTTTTTTTAAAAGTGCGTACAACAGTACAACCGCATAACTGATTGTACAACTTTTTGTACAATTGTACAACCAGGAACAACACTGCTCGCAAAACGACCCGCTTTCAGTAATCTATAATCAATAGAACTACACCACATGGAGGAAGGAGCTACACCATATCATTGGCCCTTTCAAAGCCAACAGGCTACAGGGTTGCCGTATCATAATCCACGGGTAGCATTTTTACAGTAATCTTAACTGACTAACTTTAGTAGTACAAGGCAAGCAAAATATTTTCAACCAATCAAAGTGCTCCACATGTTGGCGAGAATCTTGATTGGGTATACAGATTTTAGGTGTTTCGTGTTGCATTGACATTCGCTTCATCATTTTTAATTTTTGATCTCTCAGATATCAGAAAATGTGATGAGTAAAATTTAAGTTTGTAGGTGTTTTGTAAGTGAACCTGTGATATAATGTATTGAAATTATTATTTATTAATAGGACTCTAGTGATAAATTTATACAATATGAACTTAAAAGTGATCCAGACATTCTTATTATTAAGTATAATTTCCACTGCCATAGTGTCAGCAGGAAGAGACTTTTATAAAATATTAGGTGTATCTAAATCAGCTAGTTTACATGATATTAAAAAAGCTTATAGAAAATTAGCCAAAGAACTGCATCCCGATAAAAACCAAGGAGATCCCCAAAAATTTCAAGATTTAGGTGCAGCTTACGAAGTGCTCTCAGACGAAGAAAAAAGAAAGAAATACGATAGATGTGGCGAAGACTGCCTCCAGAAAGATGGCATGATGGATGGAGGAATGGATCCCTTCGCTAGTTTCTTTGGAGACTTTGGTTTTCACTTTGGAGGTGCTGAACAAAAACACGAGACTCCTAGAGGAGCTGACCTAGTAATGGATATACTAGTTACTCTGGAAGATTTATATACAGGTACAATAATTGTTTTTATATTATGGTATTGCTATCATAGCTAGATTTGTAGAATACTACATTTTTTTCATTGATTTGAAACAATATGATCTGTCATTTATTATGCTGCTATTAGCTGGCTCATTTTTGTACTTGTTAGCTAGATAACAAAATGGTTATTATTTAGGAATTATTTTTAATCAAATACGAAATATAGTTAGCAGGTACATATTTTTAGTGAAGCTTTGTTTTATGTTGTAAATAATACTTACTTTAATCAGGTCTCTAGAATTCAAAAATATCAGGGATTCAATTAGGTTTAATTAGGACTATGAGTGGGCTTTGAAGCCTCCCCCATCTCAACCCTTTTCAGATCTATTTTAGATTTCTTTTGATCATTATTTAGAGCACTCTATCTAGTTTTCTATTTTCTAATAGACTCTGTAAACTAGAAAGTAACTCTCTTGTGTACTTAGTTGTACTTAGATTTTCTTGTCAGAGTGTAAGAAATCTGTCTTGATAAACCTTCACAGAAGCATAATAAGTAGGTACTGCAATCTCCTTCACTTCTTAGCATAATCAGCAGATTAGGAATACTAGCAATCCTTTAAGCTCTGGAGAAATTTAATAAACTATTTTTCTACTTCAAGGCTGTCTCTTTGACATTTATTAATGACAATTAAGCACTATTAAATTATAAAAAAGCCAAGAAAAATAGTAATGATTAATAAACTAGGAAACATATGGTGCATATTTCCAATCAGAAACAAGATACTTACTTCTTCTTATAAAACAGAAACAACTGTTTATCTCCCTTTCATAACAATGTTGCTATGGACAAAAATAATAACCAATATTGTTATAACCCTTGCAACAACCATATTATTTAATAATAGGTGTAATTGTTTAATAATTGGTGTAACAATATGGTTACTGTAGAAGGTTTCATAGCAAGCTTAAACAGGATCGACCTGAATATGAAGTTTATGATGAATTATTTTTGTTGCAGGTACATTTATCGAAATTACCAGAAATAAGCCTGTTCTCAAACCAACCAAAGGCACTCGTAAGTGCAACTGTAGACAAGAGATGATAACAAAAAGTTTGGGACCTGGGCGATTCCAAATGATGCAGCAGACTGTATGTGATGAATGCCCTAATGTCAAATTAGTCAATGAAGAAAGACTTTTAGAAATGGAGGTAGAACAAGGAATGGTTGATGGACAAGAAACTAAATTTGTAGCTGAAGGGGAACCCCATTTGGACGGCGATCCAGGCGATCTCATTTTGAAAATAAAAACTCAACCACATAAGCTTTTTGAAAGAAGAGGGGATGATTTGTACACTAATGTTACCATAAGCTTACAGGTAATATAAAATTAAATATCAATATTAGCAACTATTTATAATAATTGATAAAAAATATTCATAGTAGACTGTTAAATCATCATAAATAATATCAAAACTTATGATTTTCTTCTTTATATAACAATTTGAAATTCATTTGGAGACATATTTAGTTATTACAGGCATGAATCTTATTCCTTTTTGCAACAGAAACATTTATTTATCCAACAAGTACACACTGGATGTTTTACAAAATATTAAGTTCTTAGAAATCAAATTGTTGTTTTTAATTAAAAAAAATTACAATATTAAAAAACAAATTACTAAAGGCTTTTCAATATGTTTTAGGATGCACTGACTGGCTTTACTATGGAAATAAAACACTTGGATGGACATAAAGTTAGTATTATGAGGGATAAAATTACTTGGCCAGGTGCCCGCATTCGTAAGAAGGGAGAGGGCATGCCCAATTATGAAAACAATAATTTACATGGTACCCTCTATATTACTTTTGATGTTGAATTCCCCAAACAAGAATTGACTGATGAAGATAAAGAAGGTAATTAATTTTATGAATATTATGTGTTTTATAGTTGGAGAAAATTAAATTTGGACCTATGTATTTTTTTTAATTAAAGTTTCTTTAAATAGAAGTACTCTAAGAAATTACTTATACTGCAGCCTCAGAAGAAATTATATCAATAACTTGATTGCAAAACCTCATGTCTACATTTTTATTTTTGAAATTACTATTGCGATCTTTTATATTATTGTCACTTATCTGCACATGTGGAAAATCTCGTATCTACCACTCATCTGTCAAAATTTTAATAATTGTTCAAAAACTGTCACTTCATATTAGTATATTAGTAAGGTATCATTTTTTAGACATTTATGGATATTATACTTTAAAACAGTTTTGAAATTTAATCAGGAAAACACCTAAAAGTGGCCATTTTATATTACAAAATAATTTAAATTCTGCCTTGGTAGGATTCCCTACTCGACCATTCACTGTTGAGTTCTAATTAACAATGCTGTTCCTAAATCCTAAAGTGGCGCTGGGAAACAGTAACAAAGCCTACACAGAACAGGAGGCTAATGGCTTTAGTAGTCGATGCCGATGACACCAAATTAAAAAAAAATTAATTCTGGATATTTGGGATTGGGTTACATTGTATTATTGACAATTTTCAAGTTTAACAATTTACTTTGCATTTTTATTTGATACTTTGTATGTTGGTATAAATATTTTAATTAGTAAAGTGTAATCTTTCTTTAATAAAAATAATTATATTTATATTGTGATTAACTGTTTTTTCTTTTCAGCTCTTAAGAAAATACTGAATCAAAGCTCAAACAACAATATTTACAATGGTCTTCGAGGCTATTAATTCCATCTCAAGATCATATCCGATCGGAATGTGAAACATTTATCTTTGTTGCCACCCTGACTTAATTTATATGGTTTCTATTTATTTCAGATTAAAAGAAAAACACTTTGTAAATAAATTTATAAAATAGAACACAAGCATATTTATTTGGGACATATTTAATTAGTCCACTGTAAATATTTTATCTAAGTCTGTTTTAAATAATTATGTGTTTATATGAAAATGGTTTACAGTATGATACTGAATAGATTACTGTTTACATGTTAAATTTTGTAATATATTGGATGTAAAGTATGTATATTCTATTATTTAATAAAATATTTATTGATTCTTGCCGAATTAAAGCAATCTACTAGTTGTCACTAAATAATGAACCTATTTTTCATTATCTTAATATTAATTTAAGTTTCCTACCATATACAGACCTACATGTTGTCCGAGAATGTTTGACGACAGTTAAAAAAATCTGATGTGTCCAACACATGACTTTCCTATCTAGTTATTACAGGCTTTTTCCGGTTATTTTGTACAACCTATTGCAGCACCTCCATAAATGTTTAGAGGATAAAATAAATATATACATTTTCCACATACATCTACCTCGAAACGTTTTTCTATAGATATTCATTGAAAATGAAAATACTGAAAAATTTAAATTTAGCACTTTTCCTACAATTTTTCCATTACGGTCCATTTTAGAAAAATCAGGTATTAACAAAAATTATAGAGTTCGATATCGCAAACAACTTTTATTTCAACAATTTTCATAAAAATCGGAATTTTGCACATTTTGTCAAATTTCTCGAATACGGACCATTTCAGGAAATTTTGACATAAAGCAAAAATTTTAGATAATAATATAAGAAGTAACTTTTATTTGAAGAATTTTCTTCCCCAAACGTAAATAACAGATATATTCCATAAAATATAAAAATGACCACCTATAAAGTACCCCCCCAGATGTTCCGACACTGCCCAAAATCTAATCAGCACATTGGACGCTGGAACAAAGCTTAAGTTTAAAATTTGGTGTTTTTCTGTGTATCGGTTCATGAGTTATGCGACACACACACAGACATCATCGCGAAAATAGTCAAAACGGATTCAGGGGACCTCAAAACGTAAAAATCCGTCGAAAACTCGAGGTCGAAAAAAATCATGATTCCTATACTTTCCTTATATCTGTATACAGATAGGAAAGTAAAAATTACCACCAACGTCACGAAAAAAAGTATTTTAGGTCGGCTGGTCTTTTGCTGTTTCTTTTCTTATTGAAGATTGGTGGGGACACGGTACATCTGGCTGCTGTGAGTGGTTACGTTTTCTTCTGCGCATCCTATTTGTACAGGTACAAATTACGTATTTTCAAATCATTTTAGGTCGATTTCTTTTTTCTTCATAATTTTCTATATCCTAGCAATAAAAATATAAAGTGCCATACAGTTTTGTTGTTGCTAACTCCGTGCCAGATGCTATTTTAGTAAATAAAAAATAGTATATTACATTACGAATGTGGAAACTCACTTTTCACACAAGTGATGTACAATATTTTTCCTACGACCACAAAAAAATGTAAAACCAAGGTTATTATTACTATAATAATTAAAATGTACATTATTTTAATAGTAATTGTTAAAGATAAATATCTAGGATCTAATTTACAACAATTTCAATAATTTAACAATCATATCGATTTTAGTATTAATATGGACATTACATGGATCAAAATAGAAATTAGGTGTTTGACATTTTGTGACAACTACTGCGGAAAGTAACATATTCTCACTCGGGTGGAAAGTAAATTCTTATTCATACGTGTGTGATATAGGTCACTTTCCATAGGACTATTGCTGCGTTTGAGAATCCACATCGGATGCATCTGAGATGTAAAAAATCTTTGATCACGTGGTTCAGTATACGTAAATGTAATGGGACAGATGTGTCCGATGTGGATAAAAAAACGCTCGAGATGTAAAAAATGCATCCGATGTGGATTCTCAAACGCAGCATATATAATAATAATAATACTCTCCCTAATTCACCCCATTACGAGTGAATTTCAACCCCTGAAGTCGACTGAACGACTTGTGTAGGGGAAGGGACGGCTATTATTATTATTATTATTTGCCGTGGCGCTCCGGGGCGACTTAAAGATGATTGATGGTGCCATTTGACTTACAGGTGAGGAAAACCCGGAAAACCTCACCCACCATCATATAGTGTGATATGTGTCACTTTCCTAAGTGGTCGTAGGAAAAATATTTTTTCAAATCATTTTATAGTATAGCTGTAATTTTAATATGATATAGTTATGCTATCAAAGAACTTAAAATTAATTTGCCATGCATAAATTCAGTTGTATAATAAGAAGCCGGACCGAGTCTCGGAGATAGTAGGCAATGTAGAAGAGTACTGTCTGTCACTTTTTATGATGGCGTCGTCCATGTATCTCAATGTTTGTATGTTATTAGTTGTGTTCATCAAATAAGGGTAAAGCCAAATTTCATCGTGATGAGTAACGGAAAAGAAAAATGTGTTTTTTTGTAAAGAGAAAACTGGAAAATAATCATATTCACTAATGAAAAACTGAATAAGTGTGTGGACATTTTATATTCAATTTAAAATATAAAAATGTTAGGCTACCAGACAATGTTAATGATACTGATGGATACCATAGACAGTGTTATAGCAGTTTTACATCCTTGATATCTAAATATCATAATCCAAATCCTATACTGCAGATTAATTCTCCGAGTACATCTTGTGCAACATTTTCAAATTCTCCAATTAATATTTGTTATAATACTCAAGAAAATATTATTCCAATCGTTGATAATAGCGATCTATATACATTTTCAACTGATTTAGCAATTGACTCCTTTTATAAAATTCCAGAGTTGGAAAAAGAAAGTGCCACAGAAAGAAGTGATAACCTTAAAAGTGTATGCTTTTTTTGCGAAAAAGACCGAAAGCAAGTTAAAGGAAAACAGCAAACTTTACATTCTTCAAAAGATGAAAAACTATATGAAAAAATTATTGAATGAATGATAATATAAGATCATGATAAACTGTTAAAAAAATCAATGCTATAAAATCTGCAGGTGGGAGTGTTTTTTTACCATCATTTATGTGAATTAGCATATACGTTTGGAGTAGAAAATTCTTCAAATAAAAGTTACTTCTAATATTATTATCTATAATTTTTGTTCTATACAAAATTTTCCTTAAATGGTCCGCTTTCGAGAAATTTCACAAAATTTAAAAAAAATATTTTTTTATAAAAATTGTTCAAATAAGTTGTTTGTAATATAATTTTATTACTTATTGATAGGTTTCCTGGTTTTAAATATTCATTTTATGTTTTCTTTCGAACAAAAATGAAGAAAATATAAATAATCCTTTTGTTAATACATTTTAACTTCACGCTATTATTTAATGGTGTTTTTTATTTTAACAGAGTAGGTTAATTCTTCAAAAACACTTAGGCAACTTCTCATACCTTTTCTTGTAAATACTATTGCCTGCCATGTTCTATTATTGATTTTTATTGATATTTACTTTTTTTAGTTTAAGCGATAAAAATATACGAGAATAATAATAAATTAATGTTTTCACTTATTTTACAAATCCATATACTTTTATTAAAACTAACCTATACTTTTTTAATTACGAATTCTATTAAAAATTGTATTGTCAGTATACGCAAAAATCGTCCATTAGTACATAAATTAATAGTCTTCAGGTAATCTGTATCTTTAGCACAGATCATTTTGACACTTGTTACGAAAACGTCATTTTATCAAAATCATAGAAAATTTATTTGGCATACTTTGTTGAATTTTGAAATGGTTTAATGCATAGAAAAATAAATGTTAATGTTAATATAATATGTCAAACACATGTTAACTTTGATTTAAACACATAATCAGCATTCAATTATTACCAGTAAAACAACGCTACAGTTACAACAGGTAAATCTTACAATGATTATATACAGTCCATCAAATTGGCCAACCAGTTCCATATTCTATAATAAACAGTTTTACTATGGATTTGGCCCAAACCAGGGATGTATTAAGCGATGTATGTAGTAAGGCCCGTATTTATAAACAGAACTTACGTGAGTCGGACTTGGGTAAGTCGTCCTTGAACTAAAATCAAAGTTCGGTTACAACGTCTCTAAAGTTCTAGGTGGTTCTGGTGTTAAACTGGAATTTAGAGATGAATATTAGCAAATCTGTAACTGTTATGTACATTTACGGATTTGTTACTACCCATCTCTAAATTCACGCGATATAACCGAACTTCGATTTTCGTTCAAGGACGTCTTACCCAAGTCCGACTCAATGAACTGGAGTGGGGTAGAAAGCCAATATGCATATTGTATTAATAGCACAAGCTGCGACTCTATGGGCGCAGCCATTTTTATTTCTTATCTCACTCGGGAGTATTATTATAATAACCATTTTCTGTTTCACATTGTTATTGTTCAATCCACATGCTGGTGGATCAGACAGTAACAAAGTGAAATAGAAAATGTTTGTTATAAATACTCCCGAGTGAGATGAAAAATAACCTGTCTTTGCCCATAGAGTCGCATCCCAAGCCTATTGACAAGCATTCTACCCCACTCCAGTTCATTGGTCCGACTCAGCTGAGTTTTGTTTATAAATACGGGCCTAAGTCTAATAACTTTAAAGCTGGGGGTATTGCCAATGTTGTCAACTGATGAACTAACTGATATAAAAAATTAATATAATTAAATTGGTTTTATAAAAATCCTTAAATAAATATAGAGTATGATAACATATTGACACACATTTCTCTTTTTAAAAAAAAAAGTTCTTTACATTGCTAGAAGGTGTAAGAAACCGTTGACTTAGCGGAATACCGCGCGTTGGCAACACTGGAAAAGGGCCTACTTACAGGCATCTTTTATCATATCTCTTAGCTTATATCGCGAATACGTTGCAGCGATGCTGAAAAGAAATATAAAGAACATTCTAAAATACTTTTTTTATCCCTTTGCCCATTTTCAGCTACGCCTATGACTTATGCATTCCAAACAAAATGGTTGCTCGTTGGTAATGACAGGTTGTGATATAGTAATCCGGGCCTGTGCAGGGATTCTTATGTGCGTACTCAACACGTAACGAATTGAATAGAGAGACATTACATACGAATCGCATTATGTGGAACGAAGATAGTCGTCTCAACACGTGCCCAATGAACTGGAGTTCATTGCACATGACGAATTGAAATATGAGAATCCCAATCCTGGTGATTTGACAGGGTCAATGATATATATTTATATAGATTTATCATCCATGTTTACATTCATACTTACATTAGTCACTTCTTAAACATTGTCTTCTATACGACTTTCTGGCATGGAATTTACTAGGGCAGTCTCGCTGAAGGCGGTCATCATGTGGGTATTCCATCGTCCTTGATTTCGATCTTCCACAGTTTTAATGTCCTGATTGAATTTTTCTTCCTGTCCTCCACTACAATTACCTACATTTTCTGAAAAGCGATCTAGGTGCTTGTAGAGGTAGTGAACTTTTATGTTCATGTTAAAACCGAGAATAGTAAAATTTGAAAGCATAGTTTTCCACTAATTCTATGTAATTCTCCGCTTTATGATTCCCAAGAAAATTTTGTACTACTTGAACAAATGAACACCAATCGTTGGATTCAGTCTCATTCATTGATGTGGTAAATTGTGGATCTTTAATAAGTTTGCCTTATTTGAGACCCATCAACTATACCAGCTTGTAGTTTTTTTCCGTGCTAATCCCAGAAAACTTATACGATTACGTACCCATAAGTACCCAAAACAATTTCTATCTCGATTTAAAGCTTCCACAAATTGCTTCATAAGTCACAATTTGATATGCAAGGGTGGTAGTAAGATTTTTTCTCTCGTAACCAAAGGTTCGTTGATTACGTTTTGTTTTCTTTTGAACCATAACATCTCTTAAAGGCCAATTTTTTTTAATCTAGTGCTAATTTTTAGCTTTACTGTGTCAAAGACATAAAACAGGGGCATTTTGCTGTCCAAGAAGAAAGTTTACCATTTTTAAATCAACACAAATTGTCCACTGATGTTCTTCGTATTTAATTTTCTTCAAAATAAATTCTATTGTTTCATAATCCTATTTCATAGTAGTAGAATGACCAATATAGGAATTGAGCCATATTTGTTATGTGTAAAAGGACACATTTTAAACTACGTTTTGAACTGTCAATAAAAAGGTGCCAATCGTCTATTCTGACAAACACATTTTTTCTAAGAATTCCTTTATATCGTCACAGAAAAAAAGGAGCAGATCCATAGGCGCCGAATCTTCGGGGCTCTGGGTGCGCAAGCACCCAGAGCAGTTTTAAACAGGGCGCGGAGCACCCATAGCACAACAAGGATAAAAAGTGTCAATAAGTGAAACAAAGAAGCTGTCGTGGCCCAAGTTGGTATAGCGACAGACGCCTCAATAAAATGTTATCGTTCGGAGCTGTATTTTTTGTGATAAAAAAGTCGACGTGACTTGTCATAGACAGAGAGCATTGAACTTGGACTTAAAGGTTTATTATTCGTGGTGTATAAAACCCTATGACATCAAAAAAGAAAGATGAATAACTGTCTACAATTATCAAGACAAGATCTTCGTACATATGCCATTGAGCAAATGCTTGAAGGGAAAAGGGAGAACATTTGAAAGTTGCTCCCGATCAAGCACCGTTAGAAAAGAACGTTCATTTAGAATTAGAAACAGCTCTCTAGTATTGCTGTTGCTGACGAGAAACCAGGTCATCTACTAAAAAACGCTTGGACCCGTCAGTTTTGGATTTTGGGAAAAAACATTGTTTTGGCAGTTTCACCCTCTGAGCGGAAACCCTCTCTCGGGGGTGAGACTCACCAGTTATATCTTAAATAGAAAGATTGGTCGAATGATATGTTATTTTGAAGTTATTTTTACCTAGATAATAACCCCCAAGTTTTACATCGCTACTATCTATAACCCAAACAGTGGCTCACCAAAAGTACAAAACCGGTTTAACATAATTTTTATATTGCTATTAAAAAAAATCTGATGTGTCCAACACATGACTTTCCTATCTAGTTATTACAGGCTTTTTCCGTTTATTGTGTACAACCTATTGCAGCATCTCTATAAATGTTTAGAGGATAAACTAAATATATACATTGTCCACATACATCTACCGCGAAACATTTTTCTATAGATATTCATTGAAAATGAAAATACTGAAAAATTTAAATTTAGCACTTTTCCTACAATTTTTCCATTACGGTCCATTTAAAAAAAAATCATGTATGAACAAATATTATAGAGATCGATATCGCAAACAACTTTTATTTCAACAATTTTCATAAAAATCAGAATTTTGTACATTTTGTCAAATTTCTCGAATACGGACCATTTCAGGAAATTTTTACATAAGACAAAAATTATAGATAATAATATTAGAAGTAACTTTTATTTGAACAATTTTCTTCTCCAAACATAAATAACAGATATATTCCATAAAATATATAAACGGCCTCCCATAAAGTACCCCCCCAGATGTTCCGACTTTGTCCAAAATCTAATCATTTCACGTCAGGCCGAAATAAAACTTAAGTTTAAAATTTATTGATTTTTTCTTTATCCGTTTTTGAGTTTTCTTCAAATTTCGAAATTTACACATTTTCTCAAATATCTCGAATACGGTCCATTTTAGAGAAATTATCTATGGGACAAAAATTATAGAGAATTATATTACAAACAACTTTTATTTGAACAATTTTTGTAAAAAATAATTTTTTTTACATTTTGTCAAATTTCTTGAATACGGACCATTTTAGGAAAATTTTGTATAAAACAAAAATTATAGATAATTATATTAGAAGTAACTTTTATTTGAAGAATTTTCTTCTCCAAACGTAAATAACAGATATATTCCATATAATATAAAAATGACCACCTATAAAGTACCCCCCCAGATGTTCCGACTCTGCCCAAAATCTAATCAGCTCATTGGACGCTGAAACGAAGCTTAAGTTTAAAATTTGGTGTTTTTCTGTGTATCGGTTCATGAGTTATGCGTTATACAGACACACACACACACACACACAGACACACACACACACAGACATCATCGCGAAAATAGTCAAAACGGATTCAGGGGACCACAAAACGTAAAAATCCGTCGAAAACTCGAGGTCGAAAAAAATCATGATTCCTATACTTTCCTTATATCTGTATACAGATAGGAAAGTAAAAAGGAAGTTTTTGAAACAATTCTACTTTTATTCCTGTGGATTTCAATAATTGTTATCAGATGACATTCTTTGGTCGCCGTAAAGTAATAAGATTTAGTTTATTTCGTTGTAGAGTCGGCATAAAGATGGAATATCAGTGATAATGGTTTACTCTATTGCTGAGAGGGTGCAAATAATCTCAATTTTTTTTGCAAACAATGAATGTGCTAATAGAACTGCCTAACTGTTTAACAATTAATATCGAAACTACATTTTAGAGTTAGTCCAAACATTTTACAAAACGGAGTCAGTAGCTTACAAATAACGTGAAATGGAAAATTCTGTAGTAAATGAAGCTACAGATGTGGCGATTTTAGGATATGTTGTTCAAGAACCCATATTGAGTACAAGACAATTGGCGATAACATCTGGTATTAAGAGACGTAGTATTCAATAGTTATTGAAAAAACACAAGTTTCATCCCTACAAAATAAATGTGGTAAAATAAACGAAGACGATTTTGATAGGCGTTTACAATTTTGTGAAATTATGATTGAACGTGCATTAAATGATTGGCAATTTCTTTTCAACGTGTGTTATTCAGACGAATGCACTTTTTTCCTAAATGGTACGGTAAATCGTCACAACTGTCGTTATTGGTCCGACTCAAATCCCAGAATATTTCATGAAGTGCGTACGTAACATTCGGAAAAACTGAATGTTTGGGCTGGATTTTTGGTAACCCTATTATTGGGCCTCTTTTTTTATTAGAAACTTTAACAGCAGAAATGTATCTGGAATTATTAGAAAACGCTATTTATCCAGCTTTACTAGAGTTGATTTGAGAATGACGATCAGTAAATAGCAAACAGCTTAATATTCCAGCATGACGGTGCGCCACTGTTCGTCAGTATTTGGATCAAACGTTTCCAGGTTTCCAGTATCAGAAGAAGAGGAAGTATTGAGTGGTCCCCACAGTCTCCTGATCTAAGCCCGTTGAATTTTTTTATGGGGTCACTTAAAAACTAAAGTTTATGACACCCAGCCAACATCACTGGAAAATCTGCGACAACGGATAATTGATGAATGTCATCAAATCACCCCACAGATGCTTCAAAATGTCCGAGAGCATTTTGAACAAAACCACTATTATTGCATGGAGGCCCAGGGTCAGCATTTCTAGCATTTACTCGAGTAACTGGTAAGCTTCTACAGAAAATAAAAATCGGTAAAAGATCATGGCTAGGAAGACAGTAGCGATTTAAAACTTGGGGGTTATAATCTATGTAAAAATACCTTCAAAATACCAGTGGTGGCTGCACCGACCATATAAGGTTGCCAAATATCCCGTTTTAGGTGGGAGCCTCCAGCCTATCCAGCAACTGGACAGTTGACAATACATTTTTTTTTTTTCAAGAAAATTTTCATAAAAGCAACTTTAAAATAGCTTTTTAAAAATCCAATGGTGCCTTTAAGTGAGGTGTGGAGGGTGGGGGGATAGCCCCCATTTTCCGCATAGAAGCCGGGCACCCAAAGCAATTTCTGAATTCCGGCGCCTATGAGCAGATCCTTATCTCTTTTTCGATAAAATGTAATATTAGTACCTGGATAAAGAAGGTTATTTTCTTTTAATCTGGATGCAAGTAATCTTTGAGAGATTTAGGTGTCTCTTATGAGATCGTTCAGTTTTTGTTGAATTAATGTTGTTGTTCTAAGTAGGGTGACAAATGGCATAATATTTAGATCCGCTCAACGAAAAATATATTTGTAATAAGAAACAATCAGTGTGATTTTAAAACAAATTTAATATTCTCGTGCAGTAACATTCAAAACATATTTTACTAAGTACTATATATTATGAAAACAATTTTTGTAAACTGCCATGGTTCATTCGGAATAAAGTCCAATCTTCGGTTTCAGATAAATTAATGGCGCCCATTTTCTTATAAAAAGCTATTGCAGGATTCCAAGACAAGACATGGAAATCCACTCGTTTAATTTCAGCATCATGTGCCGTTTTCATAACGGCCAAAAACATCTTAGCTCCAATTCCGTGACGTCTAAAATAAAAATAAAGGGACTATATTTTTTATATTATAACGTGAGTCATTGCGTTCGGTTTGCCACGTTCCTTTAACTCCTTTAACACTTTTAACTCCAAACGACTCTTTTAGCGTTCGGTTTAGTCCGATTAGTGACAGTTTAACACGCTTAAATGTCATTTAAAAGCACCCTAAAATTTGTCCCGCTCCAGCCCCTGACTGACCGAACTCGCCTAGTAACAGCATAATTTGTGTTTCAATGACAAATGACAGTGACAAACTAGAGTTTATAGGTATTCATTAATATTTTAATTATATTATTTTTAATATTATTGTTTAAGTACGTACATCTGTCCGCATATTAAATACTTTTACACACTTAAATATAAGCCGGCCCTGTCCCTTACTTACTAAAAATTAGGGCTCGGAATTGTATTCGGATAATTCGATAATTCGAATATTCGAATACTCAAAATTCGATATTTTTAGATCGAAATTATTCGAATAGTCGAATATTCGAATAGTCGAATAGTCGAATAGTCGAATATACGAATAGTCGAATATTCGAATAGTCGAATATTCGAATAGTCGAATATTGAACTAGGTAGGTATTCGATACTCGAATATTTGACTATTCGAATACTTAAATATCGGAATACTGTAAATGTTCAAATATTCGGATATATATTTTGAATTAATTTATAAACCTAATTTAAATATTTCTTTTTTATCTATTGCTTAAGAATAAAGGTAGAAGAAAAATGAATAACAAAATTCTGACTTGAGATTCGGGACTAATACGTTACGGCAACAATGTATTTATTTATTTATTTCCTTGTAGTGCTGGCGTTTTATTTGGTAAATGAGAAAAACCCCAACATTGTCTGACATTTGCACTTTTCACACGCTTGTTTATGTTTGTTAAGTTATAACTTACTAGTTATTTTATTCATATTAGTGGGTGTATGTCTGTCAGTCAAAGTTTGTCCGATACAGATGTTAAATATGAGTTCAGAACGCAGTAAGATTTGGCTTTACTTCGATAAAAAAGAAAATCGTGTGTAGTGTAAATTAATAACTTACAATGTCATACACAGAAGTAATACCAGTAATTTGTGGAATCAATTAAGAACTAAGCATCATACCAAAACAAACAGGTATGAATTATACGTTAATCAAATAATCAAATACTCAAACATTCGAATACTCGAATATTCGAATAATCGTATACTCGAATATTCGAATACTCGAATATTCAAATACTCGAATATTCGAATACTCGTATAATCGAATATTTGAATACTCGTATATTCGAATACTCGAATATTCGAATATTCGAATATTCGAATATTCGAATACTCGAATATTCGAATACTTAGAAATATTCGAATAGTGAATAATTTGGGTATTCGAATAAAGTTTCAAACGAATATTCGAATACAAAAATCTGAAAAATTCCGAGCCCTACTAAAAATGTAAACCCAATTATATCCACCTTTACCAATGCGCTAGTTCAGTGCAATGAACTGGAGTGGGGTAGAATGCTTGTCAATAGGCTTGAGATGCGAAGACAGGTTATTTTTCATATCACTCAGGAGTTTTTATAATAACCATTTTCTATTTCACTTTGTTATTGTCTGATCCACTAGACCATCTTGGATTGAACAATAACAATGTGAAACAGAAAATGGTTATTATAAATACTCCCGAGTGAGATGAGAAATAAAAATGGCTGCACCCATAGAGTCGCATCTTGTTCTATTGATACAATATGCACATTGACTTTCTACCCCACTCCAGTTCATTGGTTCAGTGTGATGTCATTTTGGTTCCACTGACATTTAATTCTAACCAAACTTTTAACAAAAACATCAATAAATTTGACATATACATTTTTACTGTTTTTATTTTATTTCAAAATATTGTTTACAGGTCATAAAAAATAGTTTAAAGGTACGTAATTGGTAACTAAACGATTGTATATTTGATACATGCTATCTATTTACTTTAGGAATATTATTTTATTTATAAAAGTGAAAAAAAAAACGATATAATTTAGGTAAACAAAACGAACAAAAGGCACTCAAAAAATCTACTGTCACTTTAATTGTCAAAGGAACCATCATCACTGAACTAGCGCATGCAATGAAAGTTTGTAACAGCAACAGTCTGCAAGGTCAATGAACAATACAAAAAAAATATCAGATATAGAAAACGGTAGTACTATCTTTTATCTCCCTAATAGTATAACGTATCTCGCTTAAGAGCAAAGAAAATACCTTGAACATTTATAATTCCTTCTGAGCTTTTATTTTTAGTTCGATTTTTGTAAAATACCAAAATATCAAAATTTAGGTTGCAGAAACCTTGATTTTTTGTAAAACTTCGAAAAGTATTTATTTTGAAAATGTTTAAAAGGAATTTGCTTTGGTTGCTTCACTTTGTTCGGCTGTCAACCCATCAGCTTCAGCACAAAAAAGCTTAATATTTGCTTCTAATAAAATAATCTATTTAAACAATATTTTAAAAGCACTAAAAACGTAATGTCAATTTCAATGACAGAATAATTTGTTTTTGTTAAAAGTAAATCGTTATTGGAACAAAAATTACGTAGTCGCACATTATGATATAGCGTATTGGGTGATAATTTAAAAATGTATCAAAATACTTATTAACATATATACTACTTAATTAATTCAAAATAAATACACCTAAAAACGTTTTGTATTATCACCTGTAATTTGGCTTTACGTATAAATCTTCTAGAAATATAGCTTTTCCTTCCCATGTAGAATAACAATAATAATATAACGCGTATCCTATTAGCGAATGATCTGGCAATTCTGCAACAATGCAACCAAAGAATGGTCGATTTCCATTAAATCCATCTTGCTCCAACACAGAATAGTCGATTTTAACTTGATCTTCTAATTTCTCAAATGCTGCCAATTCCTTTATACAGACAAAGCAATAAGATAATTTATATTAGATGTGAAAAATTTAGGAGCGTAAAAAAATTCAAAAAAAAGTCATCGATTGTGATATTCTTTTAATATCATCAGAGTAAAAATTCATTTGTGATATGTTGCTAACATTAGTTGGAATTAGTTACATTTCGATGTTACATACAGGGTCGTATAAAAAGAGATACAGTAAATTCAATCACACTTTCTGAGGTCGAAGATAAATCGATAAAATTGATAGTAAAAAGGTTCCAGGGTGTTAAAGTAGACATTTTAGAAGTTATTTTGTGATTTTAACTCTAATACAATAAAATGGAGGTCGTCTAAAATTGTTTTAATTATATTAAGTATTTCAACGACCTGTCAAAATGCTGACAAGCAGTGTTGTTCCTAGGAATTTTTGAATTGTACAACTTTCAGTGTCAAAATTGTACACTTTTACGTTCGATCACATACTTTGATTTTCTTTTACTATACGGAGAATGGTCGCACTGCGCAGCTTTCTGAGTGCCTTTTAAAAGGAGATAGAAAACTCCGCCATTTTGATCCCTTATTACGTGTTGCCTACATCTTGGCGCAAAATTTTTAATAAGTGCGTTTTAATCATTACCTTCAATTTATATTTTTAATTAGTTATTGATATTTGATCCAGCGTTGGCTGTTTTGTTAATATAAAATTGAAATTTTAATAAAAAAGTTTGTATAAATCAATTAAATGTTTGCCCCGGAGACAAAAAAAGAAACTTTGGTAGGGTCTAAGAAATAATGAATTAAATGAGTCGCGACTCTAATAGATTAGTAAATGAATAATCAGTTAGAAAGTATCTTAGTTTTTTTTATCGAATACACAAGATATTCTATTTCCATTTGAAACATTCTCTTAAATAATTCATTAAGAGATTATTTTGATGAATAGTGTTTTCCTTGTTTAGAAAAATAATCTAGAATATACAGAGTGTAACTAAATAAGTGTAAAACATTTAAGGGAGTGATCCCTCATCGAAAAAAAGATAGGATCTTTCATATAAAGAAACTTCATTGGAGCATCCCTTGTTAAGATGCAGCCTCTTAAAGGGGGTAAATAAAATTTATTTAACAATTTTTTCACAAGCACTAAACAAGTTACAATATTGAAATTAACCTGACATTTTCTACTACCAAAAAGACACTTAGCCAGTAATTTATTTGGTAACTACAAAATAACAATAAATCCATTTCGCATTTATGACGATGTATCTCTGTAGTTGATCGTAAAATAATTTTTTGCTGCGAACTGGTTTATTTTGGGCAAAAAATTCAAGAGACATTTTTTGTTTAGAATAAAACAGACTATCGGAAATACAATTTTAAATGGTAAACAAATAATAAGACAAAAAGTTACGTTGGAACGAAATTTTAGGGGTTGCATTTTCCACCCCTTACAACCATGGGGTAAACCAAATAAATTACTGGCTAAGTGTCTTTTTGGTAGTAGAAAATGACAGGTTAATTTCAATATTTTAACATGTTTTAGCGCTTGTGAAAAAACTATTAAACAAATTTTATGTACCCCCTTTAAGGGGCTGTATCTTAACAAAGGATGCTCCAATGAAGTTTCTTTATATGAAAGATAATATCTTTTTTTTGATGAGGAATCACCCCCTTAAATGTTTTACACTTATTTAGTTACACCCTGTATAACTAATAACCAATTTAAAAAAAACTGGGCTTGTGAATAGAAGCAAGTAGATATCTATATATTTTTTAATTATTAAAGTAAATAAAATTTTATCTATTATTCGCCAAAAACAAATTCCCTTTCAGCAAAGATAGCTGTATAAAAATTTATGTAAAAAAATATTTTTGTCGAATTCTGTTTAATACAATTACTGCTAAAAAGTCTAATTAGTTGTGTTTATGGTAGAACTTTGTTGTAAAGGCCCCTTATTAATATAGGCGTAGGAAAAAATAAGTACAGAGTATAATACATTCTCATACAACGATAATATATCTAATATACCTTTTAAATCAGGAATAGATGATAAGAAGTGAATGTAACGTTTCTTTTTTTTTAAATAATATTACTCCAATATGTATTTTTTTTAAAAACTAAAAAACTAAATGATCAAAATGAAATAATTTGCAGGCCCTCAAGGTCGGGTGAATAACAAAACTAGCTCACAAATAAACTCATATCTAAAAAGTGGTAGTAGTATTAAAAGTATGGTATTCCTAGAACCGGTGTCGATTATGCTTCATTAAAAGTTATTTGTGTACCAAGGCCATAAAATTTGTAACGCATTACTAATGATAAGATAAACTTGTGTTTATACCAAGCAGTCGTAAAGAAAATGCGGCCAAAAAAGTAACACTTTAGGATGTTAATAAATTTGTAAAAAAAAAAATTAAATCTATATTAGTTTTAAAAATACGATGTACTTTATAATTTGTGTTACAAATTTAAGGACCGATTCCACCATTGTGTTAAACGAAGTTTAAAATGACATTTTTACATTAACAATGTCATTTTAGTCTCCGTTTAACACAACGGTGGAATCGACCCTAAACAATTCAACTATTTTTCCCAAAAAAATTTGAATTTTTCAAATAGCGGTAATTTTTAAATAGTAAACTATAAATACAACGACCAAATATATATTTCACTGAATTCCGAGGTAGAAATCTATATTGCACTCCACTATATATGTTCAACGAGAGTTTTGTGAACATAATATTATGATTTAGAAATAGAGATAGGTACAGTAATCTTAGACAGATTGTATTTTGATTTTGATATAAAATTCTTGGTTATGTGATGAATAAATCTCTTGTCAAAATTAAATTAATTTACCTTAATCATTTCAAAAACATGTACCATGTCATCTTTTTCTGCTTTTCTAATTATTGCATTAAATTCTTCAGACATTATAGAAGTTGACTATAAATATCTTAGAAACACCAATATAACTATGTATTAGAATCGCCAGATAAAATAGTCTGTTTGTACACTACTTTATCAGCTTATTAAAAAACTGACATGTCTAACTTTCCATTCAACGGGAATATGTTATTTGAAAATAATTTTCTCTACCTTACATTTTAATAAATGGTTAATATATATCGATGGCTCAATCAAATACTGCCACAACTAAAAAACTATTGTTTCGAGAAATTTCATTTTGAAATTTTGTAAGTCTCTATTATCATTATTTTGTTTTTGACATAAAATCTTTATATTTTATTTAAAAGCTTTGATATTTTACTGTTAAAATTAGCGATTAAGATTATAAAAGCGAGTTATTGCATAGTTTGCAAAAAAATTAGGTGTTTTTGCAGAAAATAACTCGAATTTTGGCAGTTTTAGACACAGTTTGTGGCAAGATTTTAAATCATTTTAAGGCATATTTAAAGATATTTTTGTTTGTGGCGGTATTTAAAGTAAAACCTTAATGATATTTTGCGTCATTTTTTATGTTTTTTGACTTGTGGCGGTTTTTGATTGAGCCATCGATATTTGTAATTCAAAACTTTACCTGTAAGCAGTGTTGCCAGATGGAAATTTCTGTCAACAGTAGGAATATAGTCAAAAAAAACAGGAAATTTATTTTTCTAAAAGGAGATTTTAATAAATCTATTTTTTAACAGAGGAACACAGTACAAGCATAAGAAATTACAAATATAACTCTAGGGAGTTGGGAGTTCAATTAACAGTTTTCAATTACATCAGAACGTCACGTGATTTAGCCGTCTAGTAGGTTAGGGCCGATTCCACCGTTGTGTTAAACGAAAGCAGAAAAATAGACATTGAGGCTAAAAACAGTAGATTTCATAGTCAAAACTGTAGAACAGGAGATTGAGAGTGAAAACAGGAGATCTGGTAATACTGTCTGTGAGGAATATCAATCAAAATGTGTCAAACTTATCTTCCGTGCACAACATGTTCTAAGTGCACAACCGACAATACAATTGACCGACAGGCCAAGTGACTTACAGTACAATTGACCGACAGAACAATTTACCGACAGGACAATTTACCTACAGGACAATTTAACGACAGGACAATTTACTGACAGAACAATTTACCTACAGAACAATTTACCTACAGAACAATTTACCGACAGGAGAATTTAGATTAGATTCAAACAGGGTCCGTATTTATAAACAGAACTTACGTGAGTCGGACTTGGGTAAGTCGTCCTTGAACTAAAATCGAAGTTCGGTTACAACGTCTCTAAAGTTCTAGGTGGTTCTGGTGTTAAACTGGAATTTAGAGATGGATATTAGCCAATCTGTAACTGTTATGTACATTTACGGATTTGTTACTACCCATCTCTAAATTTACGCGATATAACCGAACTTCGATTTTCGTTCAAGGACCACTACCCAAGTCCGACTCAGCTAAGTTTTGTTTATAAATACGGGCCTTTTAGACTGTGGGACATGTGGTCTCCCCTACCTCGACCTTTTCAGATCTATTGTGGATATCCTTGAATCGTTATTTAGAGTTTAATTTGGTCTTTTGTAATGGACTCCATAGATTAGAAAGTAGTTCTCCGGCGTAGCTAGTTGCCCTTGGTGTTTCTTTTTCAACTGTAAGGAATCTCAATCTTGGTAGACCTTCGCAGTAGCTCAATATGTGTTATAAAGTTTCCTCCTCTTCCTGACAGAATCGGCACAAGGTCTCTTTTGTCAGACCGATATTACACATGTATTTGTTAAGCTTATAATGCCCTGTTAATAGACCTACTAGTTCTCTAGTATTTTTCCTATGACTATACCCAGACAGCACACCAAATCCTTTGGATATCTACTGAACATCACAATATCCACTGAATGTCCAGTCCATGGTAGATATATATTTTATATCCATGAGATGTAATTTATAGACATGCAAATGAATGTCCATAAATAATAGTAATTATATAGCAAATTATTAAAAAATTACGCCATTGTGCTCGCCATTGTGGCTAATAGTACCGTTCAGATATTTAAAATTAATTTTTTTAAGGTGTATTCAATATCCCATGAACATCCACTAAATATATCAAAGATGTTATTTGATTCTGCTTACTAAGTATAGATGGCGATACCACTATCGCATCTACTCATGCTCGACCCGCCGTAATAGAGTTCGATCGAAATTTTTTATCCTACAGACTCCATTAGAGACTGGAGTCGAGAACTTCCATTTATTGCTGAAGAGTCCTAATAAGGATGACTTTCTCCTCCTTAGTGGGCAAAATCAAAGGCAGAGTGTTGAAAATATTTTTTATCTCTGCTATTTTCTTTCGACGTTATTCAATAATCATTGGATGAACCTCTACTAAAGATACCTATAAAATATTTAATTGAATATCCGAATATCTTCTATATCCTGGGATATAGACGGACATTTGGTTGGATATCCATATTGGATATATTGAATATCCACAAAATATATTCTGTGGATATCTCTGGGATTTCTTGTATTTTCTGGAAGATACCCATTAGATATTTTGCTGAATATCCATTAGGATATCTTCTATATTCTGGATATAGACGGACATTTGGATATCCATATTAGATCCACGGAATATTTCTGATATCCTGTAGATATATTGGATATCCACAAAAGATATTCTGTGGATATCTCTGGGATTTGGTGTGTTGTCTGGGTAGTTTCTGATCGTTGTTGGAGCAGACCTATAATCTGAACTTAATCAATTGTTTGTAGATCCATGCTATTACAGTTTGAGTCGTTACAACTTGAGTTTTAATTTGAAAATAAACTCCAAATTGAATGATTTTGTTTTGGCACTCGTGTCAACAATTGTCATGTTGTTAGTTTGATTTGTTAAAAAGTTAATAAGTTATATTATATCCATTACTTTATGATAACCCCATATATCAGTTCTTGTTTTTGAAACTGCTTCAACTACTTTTGCTTTGGTGCATTAATGGCCATCAATAATTCATTAAAAACTGCAATCAACTCGTTATTAAAATAGAATAAATATAGTTTTATTTATTTATTGATATTAAGCGTGTTTACACGGCAATTCTTTTATAATACCTATGGGTGTTTATGCTGGCAAGTGTAAGTTTTTATAAGTAGCGAGTTATAGATTTCCCTGGCAAATTAGACAAGTGTATTCATGATTAGGTAGGTTAAACCACAAAGCATGTATCTTGCTTTGCTATCTTTTCGTGCTTTGTGGGTTAAACTATCTAAAAGCATTTTTAGCAAAATTTCAAATTCTCTACTAATTATATATACTTATCTCTAACAGTATTTATAATTATTAATATATGTAATTATATACTCATTTTACCTTGTTCTAGGTAACAAAGGTAAATTAGGCAATAACAATTTAATTATAATTGGCGAAATGTATTCCTGTAATTTACGGAGTACAAAGTATGGTAAAATATGTCTAAAGGTCCCAGCCAGACGGGTCCTGTATAAATATCTATGTTTTAAAAACTTTTTTATATGCGTACTTATACATTAATAATTAAGCCATTAATAATTTTTGAAATTTCAACTTTAACACTCTCTATTTCAAGAACGACTAACATTTTATCTAAGCATTTTTCGTTTAATCGTCTTATGTTTAATCAGAAAATCTTCAGTTGTTCTGTGTTCCATTCTTAATGTAGGTATGTAAAAAGTGATTTGTTTCTTGTTTCCAATAATGGAATAAACAGGGTATATTTTAGTCAGCGTTTAATTTAAATGCCACGAATGTCCCTTCCAAACTGAATAAAATAAATCAAAACATTGCCTTCTTAAATAGCATAGGATTGCCAACACCAAGAGACAGATATTTACCCTCACAAGAGTACTTGCAATGTTTTTGAGATATGAAACTAAAGTCTATATTGGTAATGCAATGGGTAGATAAACATTCCAATCAAGGGATGACTAGGAACAGAAATGGACATTTGTAAGAGAAATTATTTAATTATAGGAAATACGATGTGAGAACAAAAATTAGAAGATAAATATACGTTTGTAGGGGAAGAACAAAATGCAAAAAGCTTAAACAAGGAAGGAAGCTGAAATAGGGACACACCATAGACTAGTAATAGCAGAATGTCACACAGAAATAACAAAAACAGAGCCAATAAATTACAGCAAAACTGTAATAAGTAAACTGAAAAACACAGAAAAGAAAGCCAAATACAAAGAACAGACGGATAAAGAATTTGAACGACATAGAAACGAAAGCGCTGAATAATAGGAACGTTCTCACCGGTATCTCCCGATGATTCTGCAGAAGAATTCTTAGGTTGGACATCCATCACCAGCTCAGGTAGTTGACCAACCGTTGTTGTTCAGACAGAGACTTACAAATCCCGTAAGTCGTATCTCTAGGAAAATTTTCCTCACCTGTTGATATCATAACTTTGTAATAATTGGCATTATTATTTTTAAAATATAAAGAATTTAACAAAAATCCCAAAAATATCTAATATTTTTAATATCTATTAAATTAACACAACATATTTATTAAAACCAAACAATTAGTAATAGTTCATTGTACTAGAAAATTAAAGGACAAATCGTGCGAATAATCATTAAAAATAAATAAGTCGAGTTTCTTTTTAAAATAATCACGTTAAGGTTGATATAAATTGAGAGTCAATCATTGACACAAAAGACTCAAGGGGCGGCCGTTGGGCCAAACCTATGCCCAAAAATGTAACTTGTTAATTATTAGTATTTATTATAAATAGTAAAGTGTGTGTGTGTAGTGTTTTAGTTTCAAAGGTAATATCTATTTTATTTTAACATGGTTAAATCTCTTGTTTGGGTTATGTATTTTAAAACAGTTCATTAGTCTGCTTCAAATGCCAATTCTTTCATTTTCGTCCCAAGTTTACTTATTAAATGTTTATCAGTTTTAAGGGTTTTATCATATAAAGAGTTTTTTTGATGTAAAAGCTTTCATTATATTAAAGTTTTATCATAGATTATATTATATTAACATGGTTTATCATAATAAAGATTTATAATTATTGCTTGTCTTATTTTAAAAATAGAGATTGTTTTGATTTATTGAAATTTGTTATTCATTTTTTACTTATATTTAAATATACATGTTATTGTTATTAACCTATTTTATTCCTCTTTCCAAAAACCAGTAAGAAATATTCCGAGTATGTTAAGCCTCGGGTTCCTACCCTTAAGGACTTGAGAGTCTTAAGTCAGTTGCCAAAACCGCTCGACATATGCTATTAAGGGATGTTTTTTTTTGTATTTTTATTATTTTCTTCTATTATTTTATTTTGCCACTGGCGAATGGATGTTCCTTCAGGACTCCAGGACCCTGGGGCTGGTGACAGGCGCTGCCTTTATCCCTTAATAGTATAGTAACAGTAGATAAAGACCTATCAGTAGTTGTAAATGGTCTTTAGGCCAAACTGGTTGTTACAACTTCACAACTTGAAGATGCCATGGTGTTGTCTTCTAATTTAGTAATTTGCTGGGAAAACTGGTTTTAGAAAATCGCTATTCCAAAAAATTAATTATTATTTTATTTTTCCTTTCTGCTTAACAAATAAAATAAAACTTTAATAAATAGACTGTGTCTTCGTATGTAGATTTAGGTGTTTTAGTGACGTCAGAACTAACATGGTCTGAACACATTCTAAAAACATGTAAACGTGCAAATTCGATGTTTTATTTGCTTCAAAAGACTTTTGCAAAGGTATCCTTTCATACATCCATCAAATTATTTAAGACTTATATGTTCGACCTTTATTAGAATATGCAGGTGTAGTTTGGTGTTAGCTTCTTATGCGAGACCAGAACCTTTTAGAAAATGTTCAACGCCGGGCTACCAGAATGACCTTTGGAGCAGTCCGACCATCATATGCAGAAAGACTACAATTGTCAAATTTACCAACTTTTGCGAATCGTCGACTACGAGGGGATTTAATTCTCACTTTTAGAATACTTAAATATAATTACGGAAATCTTAGTGACATTTTTTTGTTAAATACTGACTCTCGTCTACGTGGTCATAAACTAAAATTAAAAAAGGAAAACCTAAAAACGAAACACAGACAATCATTCCTTTCCAGCCGGGTATTTAATGTATGGAACGACCTCAGCGACGAAGTTGTTGGTGCCATAACAGTTAATGTCTTTAAAAATAAGTTAGACGAGTGTTTGTTTAATTAACATTTTTATTTAATTTTTTAGTGTTATCTCTTTGTTTCAGTGTGTTTACTTTGTTAGAATTTTTCTATTTTGTTTTTAGGCTATCATAGGACTTGTGTCCTCAGTCTTTATCAATGTATAATAAATAATAATAATAGTTCTATTGCTAACAAAAGAATTGCTGTGAGTAATAGTTTAATAATAAACTTCGTAGGATAAAATATTAAAAGTTAAAAGTGCTCTCCTGTAAACTGAGAATTTTTGTAAAGTGGCACTTTTGTTTTAAAAGAGTTACATTATTCGATTAAAAAACTTACCTAAGAAACTAAAAATTATTGGAAAAACGGCTTTTATGCACATGTAGCCAGTATATGACAACAAAATACACTTGCACAAATGTCTATTTTATAACAAAAAGCTAACAAATTTTCCGAAAATATAAAACTCTGAACCGTGTTGGTCAAATGTTCGAAAAAGAAAGTAGTATGATACATATTCTTTATATAAATTACTCATGAATTCTTGCGTAATAATACTGGCTCGACAGAATTTCAAAATATACGGGCTGGCTACAATACATATTAGTATACATTTTTAACGAAAATAAAGAAGGTTTTACAAACTTAAAATAATGGGATTTACTCTACAGGGCCCAATTAATTGTTTAATTCAAATATAAGTTTTCAAAATCTTATTACCCCAAATATACTTTTTTTTAAATATTTTAGTAATTTCTTGGAATATTTTGATTAAAACCTCTTATAAAATCTCACGGAATTGGGACGTCATATTAGGTATTCAATATTTTGTATATAGAGTGCCTCTAAAAAGCCACCTTTTTACAGAAAAAAATCACGAACAGCGCAAAAAAATTCAAAAAAATTATGAAGTTCGCATAGGTTATGCTAAAATTATTGTGCTAAACAGAGGCGTGCGGAAGAGGCAAGTTTTTGGATGCTACATCCAAATTTTGACCCTAAAGTCAGGGCCTGTATTTGTATATTGAAAATTACGTTTTTATCTTTATACCTTTTTGTTAAGTTTTTATTGTAAATCGAACCCAGTCAATGTAATTTACTCGGATGTTCTGTGTTTAGTAGAATGTTTACATTAGAACAATGAATTTGAGAATTATAAGTTCCTTATTTAGTGCTTTAATTGATAATTTATCGGTCATGTATTTAAAAACAATTTTTTTTTTATTTCGTGTGTCCGTGAAGCCTAACGTATGGACCATTGAACATTGTCTATTAAGAAGGCTTATCACTCATTATACTACAAAATTCACCACTTTACTATGAGGTGACGCTAGTATACAATAAAAAAGTATTTTTAGCACCAAAAGTAACTTCTTACATAGTTTACTTTTCAACCTTATAAGTTTATTTCATCCATATGATACTCGAGTTTACCTTGAATGTTAAGGGCTTGAACTGTTTGATTTTTGGTAAACTTCACAGTTTATAATAATCGACTTTATTGTTTTTAGTATAACAAGAATACATTTTTATAACATTTAATTTATACCATAAAAACAAAAGGCGAAGTTCAATTTATCTGGTGACGGATCACCAGTAAATTGTTCTTCCACTTAACCTGAAATGAAATGCCGCAAATCTAGTGCAAACAATAAAACATAATTCCTTAATAATAATAATAATCTGCCTTTTCTCTAAACAAAATTTAATTACTCATATTTTTTAATGTCTCAACGCAACGATTCATCCTTTACCGTTCAAATAAGAATTTTTTAATAGCCCTTTTAAATAGTTTTACAGTGTAAGTTTTATATAGTGCTATGATACGATGACTCGCATATTTACGACAACGATATATTATGTAGTTTGTCGATTTGTGCAGCAAAGAAGAAGACTAATCTAAAATATAGCTAAATGTTATAATTTTATTTTAAAACAGATTTGGGCCATAACGGTTCTGTTCAGTCGTCTGATTTGGATTTACACGATTTTATTACCTGGATATGCAATCTATATAACTATATGTCATTGGTGAAATGACGAATTATCTGATTTGGCAGCACTGGCTGTTATTGTCAGTTATAATTCTTTCTGTCAAATGTCAAAGGTCTCAAATCAAAGTGCTAGTAAAATGGCAAATCGTGCTGGAGCTTCTAGGCGTTTGCCTGAAAATGATTCCACAATTTCCTATGTTCAAGCAGATGGATTGGTTAGTATATTATGTTTAAATTTATAAGTAATACGGGTATATTTTGAAAAACTAAATTCATAACCTAAAAACTTTCAGGCTGTTATGAAAATAGTGAAACACTGCCATGAAGAGTCCACCACAAACATGGATATTGCTCAAGGGGCTTTACTGGGTTTGGTTGTAGATAATCGCCTTGAAATAACAAATTGTTTTCCATTCCCCAAACAAACAGATGAAACTATGGACGAGGATGAATACCAATTAGCAATGATGAGAAGACTTCGGAGGGTCAATGTAGATCATTTTCACGTAGGATGGTACCAGAGTGCGGATGTAGGAAATTTTCTGAGCCTTCCATTATTGGAATCTCAATTTCACTATCAAACATCAATTGAAGAGTCTGTAGTCGTTATTTATGATACACAGAAGTCTTCTAGAGGATTTCTTACTCTTAAAGCTTACCGTTTAACTCCACAAGCTATTGAAATGTGCAAGGAAGGAGAGTCTACTCCAGAGGCTTTGTTGAAGTTAAAGGTTTGTATTTTTAATCTAAATAATTAGAAACTGAAAATGTTTTTAATTTGATTTGAGAGAACGGAAATTTTTTTAGACCAATTTAGACCCCTCTAAAACATTTTTAAATAAAAATGTTTGCCTTTGAAATACTTAATTTTTTTTATGTTTAACTTCTTTAGTCACAAACAAGTTTTTCATTTACATCTACATCTGGTGCAGTCAAATTTATAATTAAAAAAAGTCAAAGGACAAACAATTTAAAAATTTATAAAAATGTGTATTTGAATTATAATTTGGTTAAACATAATTAGTAGAGAAACAAAAAAAAAAGTTTACAAAGTCAAAAATTATTAGTGACATTCCAGCTTAATGGTTTGTTATTATCCTTTGATGTTTTGTTTGTATAAAACAATTATGATTTGTCTTTGGTAGAATTTACATGTATTGTTAGTTGTTGCTATATAATTTGTTTTTCATTCAAATGCTTTTTTAAGGTTGGGTTTGAGAATCTCTTTATAGAGGTACCATTCTTGATTAAAAACTCTCCTCTGTGTAACATCATGATGTCAGAGTTGGCGGAATTAGTCCCAGAAGAAGAAGGTTCTAAATTCTTAGACTTAGGAACTGCTTCTGTCCTTGAAGGTCAGCTTAGATGTCTTATGGATAGGGTGGATGAATTGAATCAAGAAGCTATTAAATTTAACAGGTAACTTAAAAATACTAAAGTTAATCGAAAAAAGAATGTTTAATGAAATTAAAATTTAAAAAGTGTCTTCCTAACTTTAATATTTCTTTACGAATTTGTAGATATCAGCAACTTGTCAGTAGACAACAGCAAGACAAACATCGTTATTTACAAAAGAGAACTCAAGAAAACGCTGCTAGAGCTGCTAAAGATGAACCTCCACTACCTGAAGAGGACATTAATAAACTGTTCAAACCTCATCCTGTTCCTCCAAGGTTAAACCCTATGATAATTGCAGGACAGGTTAACACTTACAGTCAAGCTATCTCTCAGTTCTGTTCGCAATCCTTGGCTAAACTTTATATTACGCAAGCTTTACAGAACGCTAAAGAAGCAAATAATAATATATAGGATAATAATTTTTTTGTATCCAACTGAATAAACTACAAATAAAACATATTAAAAAATATAATTAAATTGGTTTTAGATTATTTCATTAACCTTCAGATACATTACTAATATTTATGTGGTTTTTCCAAAAATAAATAAGTTTAGAATTATAGAATTTGTAATAATCTTTAGGTAGGGTCCGATTACAATAAGAAGAATACAGCTACGTCATATCATTTGGGAATGAGAGATCAAGACTGGAGATCGAGACAGGAGACTGGTGATCAAGACACTGTTATATAAATCGTTTATTTAGTAAAAAAACAACTATTTTTTAGATGTCAATACATCTTCACATTTAAAATATAAAAAATACATAAGTATAGAATCAACATACATTTAAAATACATAATATACAGTACATTTACATGTCAACTATACAAAACATTACAATGTGCCAATAGTCGGCCATTTAACAGACTGGCTCGTGAAAAATTACAAAAATTTTCTGTTTCATCATTGCTACTTGATTTTTTCACATAATCATTCAATACTGACTGTTAGGCAAACAAGAATACAGAAAACACGTGACATCTATCGGCAACTAATTGAAATTTGAAAAATAAAAGATTTTTCATGAAAACCCAACAGTCGGCCAAAAGCATACCAATAGTTAGCCTATGTGTTTATGTTCAGGTAGAGATGACTAATTAATCACTTAATGAATACAATTTTTATAAAAACGAAATTTATTAAAACTTTTATCTAAAATATTTAGGACATTCTCCTATTTTATTATAAAAACAAAACATAAAAATATAATCAAACGAACGAATTTAAATTAAACGAAAAACTTTAGATTGAACTAGCATGCATCACATTAAAGTATTCTTGTTTCAATTCAGATATAAAGATATTGTGTACCCCGATACATTTTAGATGGTACCATTTGGGACAGTTATCACATCCGACATGCTCTTCATCTATGTCTAAATCACTATCCAACTCTTCTTTACATCCCCAGCACCTTTCCTTGGATTTTTTTACAGCATTTTTAATTTTAGATTTTTTTCCTTTTTTTTTTTGTTTTGCCAGTGGTTGTCTTTGCACTTCTTTCTTCTAAATATGCTCGATATTTTGGGGAAGAGATAGCTGCTGGTTGAGGAGTCACGTTTCTTGAAATAATTGGTGTGGGATAAAATAAATGTGTTTCAATTGGGATATTTAGTTTGGTGTCTTGTAATATATTAATTTTTTGGATAGTGACAGGGTGGGGATTAAAACCAAAAATGGTCCACTGGCTATATTTGGCAATAACAAGACCCATGATAACTTATGGAGCGGTTGTTTGGTGGCCAAAAGTAAACCAGAAAACAGCCCTCAATACCCTCTCAGGAGTACAGAGGCTGGCATGCATTTGTATAACAGGAGCACTGAGAAGTACACCGACAGCCTCTATGGAAATCATTCTAAACCTCCCACCCCTTGACTTAGTCATACAGGGGGAGGCCAAAATGAGTGCATACAGACTGGAAATCTCCAACAACTGGAACCCACTGGGACATATAAAACATATCAGAATAACACACGAAGTAAATGATTCTATATTAAATATGGGAGCAGATCACATGACACCCCTCCTAACCTTTAAGGGCCGATTCCACCGTTGTGTTAAACGAAGTTTAAAATGACATTTTTACATTAACAATGTCATTTTAATCTCCGTTTAACAAACGGTGGAATCGGCCCTTACAGACTCTTCCAGGTCAACTGTAACTGGAACGAGGTAAATAAGGAGATATTAAATACTTGCTTAGCGGCCTCGTATGGTATACGGATGGATCTAAAACTAACAAGGGAACAGGCTCTGGCGTACATGGAGTTAAACCCAAATGCGACATCATCGTCTCACTGGGAAAACATGCCACTGTATTTCAGGCTGAAATACATGCAATCGAATTGTGTGTACGAGAGAATTTAAGAAGGAAGTACAAAAAAACAAACCATCCTAATTCTCTCAGATAGCCAGGCAGCTTTAAAGGCTCTTGATTCAAACAGAATTAAGTCAAAGCTTGTCTGGAACTGCCTTGGAATACTAAATGATCAGGCAACCCACAACAAGGTAAAACTGGCGTGGGTACCAGGGCACAAAGGTATCCAAGGAAATGAAAAGGCTGATGAACTCGCCAAAGAGGGATCAGATTTACCATTCACAGGACCCGAACCTGTATTTGGGATAAGCAAAACCTCTGCTCGACAGGCAGTAAACAGGTGGATAATCATAGAACACCAAATTCACTGGCAACAGATAAGAGGGCACAGAATCAGTAAGCTCATGCTAAGGGGACCAAATTAACCCACGCATGACTACTGAGGCACTACAACTCGCGAGGCCTCAGATATCCAACATTGTGGGATTATTAACGGGGCTCTGCTTGCTAAAACACTTTCATGTAATGGGATTACACAATGATCCCACTACGTGTAGACTTTGCATGGACGAGGAAGAAACCTGAGTGTCCATATTCTCATCAGGCGAAATTACTTCAATCATGCTCTGCTCTCTCATTTCGGCGTTTTTCTTATTCCTTTGTAGCGGGAATGTGCTATTAGGGGAGGTAGGTAGTGGTGGGGGTGGTTTTTCAATAGAGGGTAAAGGGTTTGTTTCTGTTCTGGGCTTGTATACTGTAGGTTTTGGGGAAAGAGGTTGGGTTCTGCCATCTGGGAGGGTTAATTCTGGTTGATCGGGTAGGGGGTGAATTATGGGTGCGACTACTAGTTGGTTAAGTCTAGGGGTTTGATTTTCTTCCTCTGAGAGATCTTGTCTGCTGTTGTATGCCATAATATTTTGTTTTAGCGCCTATGTGGTACATCGCTCTGTTTGATTGTGATTTTTAGCCCTTCGGCTGAGGGGATTGAGACGTATTCTGATACGAAAGTGTCTTCGGTCTTATTGTAGTCGTGGCTTGGATATTTTGATGTAAATTTCATCTTTCTCCTTACTTTCACGATTTTTAGCTTTCTCCATACTTTCGAGAAATTCTCTAGATTTGGTAACTTCGGTGTCTTCGTGCTCGTCTTTGTCTGTGCTATCGAGATATTGTTGCTCGACGCTTCTGGGCTCGTCCGTGCGGCTCGATTGTTGATCGCTGCTTTCGTTCTCTGAACTTTCGGAGGAATCGGTTTTTGGGCCTTTTGGCGAGTTTCTCCTGACTTTTTTGGTCGTGTGGGCACTGTTTTCGTCGATCGAGCTGTTGTCGGAGCTATCTGCAGCCATTTCACTGTCCTCGCTCGGTTTTGAATCGCCGGTTTCTTGACCTTGCGAAAGTAAGTGGAACGCGTTTTCTCCATACTTTTGGGTTTTTAAAAATTTTGCCGTGGGTCTCCTACAGTACTGGACTTTTCACCTTGGTTATTGGTAAGGTCCTCAGTACTTACGGTTTTATACTGTTAGATATAATTATCCTTTTTCTATTCCTTGAAATATTAGGGTTGCGTATATAACTTTCGCGGCTTTCTTATATGAGCTTGTTGTATGCTTTTACCCGACTCGAGAGACGTTGAGAGAGTTCGGATTTGGGTTCCGCGATTTTCGCGGCGTTTGTCGGTTTACCCGACGATATGACTGCCCCCGAGGGCTCCCCCATGCACGGGGTTAACTTCTGACACTTTTTTAAAACTATACCTGGCGATTTGACTTTACTCGGACAATAATAAAAGAAAACTAATAAATGCGGTTGAAAAGTGGAGTTATGTGTTACTTCGAATCCGGATCGAACGTAGGTTCGGGTAACAGCAGCCTAGGCGAGTCCTAGGTTCACTGCTTACTAATGAAATTGCTTGTTAAATTTGAATTATGTAAACCGTGCAAGTTTCCGTCTTTGAGCTTTCACATTAATGTATGGAGTTGACAAGACGTCTTAGAGCTCTCACATTAATACGTCTGAATTTTGGCTTATGCCAAACGTCTTAATAACGTCCTAGGACATTGAGACCAAACTAAGGCACAAAAAAACGTCTTCCTGACGTCGTGTGCTATCTGGGAGAGACAGATGACTTTGAACAACTTAAAAAGAGAATGCACATGCGGTATTGCCAGGAACACTTAGGGCATTTATACCAATCAGAGTTAAAGAATCGCAGACAGAAACGAGACGCTTCAAGAATATGAAGTAGATATTACCAGGTTGGTGCAAATTGCCTACCCATCATCTCCAGAATATATGATGAAATGTTTATTAGTCCAAATATTTGTTATAACGGACTCCTTGACCACGCATAGCCAGTCACAAAATATTCTAGTCGTCTTCATTACGAATTGGTTTTCTAGGAGGGATCAGCTCTCCCTCTGGTGCCCCCTGGCTAAAGGCCTGCATTGCTTACCTGTCACTTAGCCAAATATGTGAAGCGTAACGACACTATACTCTGTTTTTAAACTAAGAGGAGCGAATTGAAAAGACGCATTTACACAGGGAAAAGTAACTAGATTTGTTACTAAGAGCGAGTTTCGAAATATAGTCGTGTTCAAAATGTATGAAATAATTATCTTTATCGGCCTTAGTCGGTGAACGGCCAATGAGCGGTTAAGAAACGAATAAATGTCATAGAAGTAATTTTTTAATTGGTCCCAGACAACGGTCGCAAATTTCACATTATTGTGATCTGAAATGTGTGTCTAAAACGAAATGTCACTGTCAAATTAAAGTCAATATGGTTGTTGATTGATGTCAGAAATACTTTTTTCTTGCTTTTGAAATCGACTTTTTGAGAATAACTATGATCTTTTTAAAATGAATAATAAATATTTAAGAAAATTGTTAATGGAATATCCAGATGTAGCCAGGTTAGTATAAATATAAAGATCTGTTTACATTTTTAAGGATATATTTGTTATAGGTATAAAAAGTAAAAGTTAATCAGTGAATGACAAGTGGATCACACAGTAACTGGTATCTCTTCTATGAGTAATGTGGATATTATGGCTTATTTAGTGTTAACCCATGGTTAATGCGCTAGAGGGCGAATAAAGGCATTCAAAAGTTTACAGGCCTATGAGTCAGAATTTGTTTT